CAAGCCCAGCTTAGAACAACTTTCTAAAACATAACTCAAACTTGTCTCTTTCCTGCATGTGCTTCCCACTTCTCCTCATGAGCCTGGGGCGAAGCCTGAACCCCTGAACACACCACCTATGTCTCCTCCCCATCTGGCCCCAACCCCTTAGCTATCCAGCCTCGTCTCACTTTCATTCTCTACCTTGAACAATGCACTTCTCCCCTTTGTCAAACGTGTGGCTTTTTCACACCTTCCAGCATTTTGCACATACTGCTCCCTCTATCCTTCCCTCTCTTCTCTGGTTCAAAGCTCATCCTTTAACACAGCTCACAATCCTGGTCCTAGTGCCTAGCACAGTCACATCCATGAACTCTGAAAAGTATTAAGTAATAAAAATACATTGCAAAAGTTACAGTGTCCAAGTCACTGATTAAACATTTGTTGGTCAGTAACCATTTCTTGAATGAATTATTAGGCGTTTGATAAGTGGCTCAGTGCTTGGTTCTTGGTAGAACAAGATGGGATTCCCTCTGGCTCACCAACATTCTTAACTGCAAGGGAAGAAAACAATTCTGAAGTCATTTCAAACCAAGCTACCCCTGAACTTCCAGGAGAAGCCAAGTTTTATAATCACAGTCCTCATCAACACTTGGGTAGAGACTTATACCAATTCAGTATCACTGTCATGACTAACAGTAAATGAATTGGAAATATTTGCTTTTGTTTTCAGTATCTGCTCCTATGGGGGAGAGAGTAAAAAGAAAAATCAAGAAATATTTTTTCCTAGGACTCAGAAATCTGCTAGATGTTGTAAAATTAAAACCAAGCCAACAAATTTCTTAAAAATGCTTTGAAGTTAGAAAATTCTTTTTAATGAATTTATTTTCCCATCATATATAATGTATTACCCCCTCCCAACCATGAGGGATACATTTCTAGATTCTCAATGGATCCCTAAAACTATGGATAATACCAAACCCCACACAAACTATATGTTACCATGTTTTTAAGTCCTGTATGGCCTGCTGCATTGCAAGAAGTACAAAGTTAATCTGCAACACAAGCATGGCAATACAGCAAGTCAGTCCAATGCTCCAGACAGTTACTAAGTGACTAACAAATGGGTAGCATATACAGAATGTATACTTTGAAAAAAGGGATTATTCCTGTCTCAGGTGGGACTGAGCAAGCAGAATGGTATGATAACTTACCATGCTACTCAGAATGGCACATGATTTAAAACTTATGAATTGTTTTTTTTTTTTCTAGATTCAACTACGGTTGAACACAAGTAACTGAAACAAAGAACAGAGAAACAGCAGATAAGAGGAGACTACAGTGTAGAAGACAATAAAATAGATCCTAAAGTACAGCTAAAAGGTTGTACCTGAGATGGTGAGAGTGGCCAGAACAAAGTGGAGATGATGAGAGATTTTCTAAGAAATTACAGTCATACCAGGGAGATTTAAAATAAAAATTAAATAGGATCTGTTAGTCTAAATAATAGCCCCTTGGAAGAAAAATCAAAGTTGTGCATTGTTTTAAAATTAATCTAAATCATTTATTTATTTCCCCTGAAAATAATTTTTCCAAGGTAATGACTTTCATCATGCTCCTAATTCTAAAGGGATATCTATGGGCTTTTATTTTATTCAAGTAAATTAGAACTAAGCCAATGTGGTCACAGTCAACAAAATCAATCTTTCATTGCAAACATAATTTACGCCTTCTAATAAGCATAGTTCTCTACAACCAACATTTTAACTAACGTAGTTTGCTATAATGAATATATTTCATCTTAATGTTTAAGTCAAATGTCCCCTGTACTAATAAAACAACTTCGCAGTTTTACAGGAAAGTGCTTAGCAAATGACCAAAATCCAAGCTATAGATGACAACATACAGAATAAGTTCAGATGTAACAAACTGTATGGTAAGTAGTGGTATGTAGATATTTTTTCATCCTTTTTGTTTAGCTACTGATTGTTAAAAATATTTAAATCTTCTCATTTGTGCTGCTAATTGAAAATTGTGTTTCTGGTTTTAACTCAATTTTAACAAAGACTGAATTAAAGATATTTGGGGATCATTGTTAATTCTACCCTAGATGTGAGGTTTTAAGAAGAAAAATGAGTCAAAAAACTGGCGGTCTGGCACTCATTCAGTCATTATTTGTTGAGCAACTACTAGGTGCTGAGCATTGTTGGTGCTGGGAATATTGCAGTGAACAGAACAAGAAAGGAATCTGCTGTCTGGAATTTGCATTCTAAGAGGCAGAGGAGAGGCTGAAGGCAAACAAAATAAATGGGTGAATAAGTAAAACTTAGTAAAAGTACTTATTATGGAAATAAAAACAAGAGACAGAATGCCAGGCACAAGGATAGGACTTGATCGGTATTTGTAAACAGGATGGTCAGGTGGCCTCTCTGAGAAGGTAACATTAGAGAAAAGATTTGAAAGAAGTGAGAAATTGAGGATGTTGATATCTCATTCAAATATCAACAGGTGAAATGCTTGGCAGGTAGAGGAAACAGAGTACAAATGATCTGAGGCAGAAGCATGTCTACCATGCTCTAGAATTGTGCTGTCCAAGCCAGTAGCCAGCAGCCACACTTGCCTATTTGAACTGAAATTGAACTTAACTAGAACTCACGTGGAATTAAAAATTCAGTTCTGCTATGTACATGTGTCACATTTCAAGTCCCCAATAGCCACAATATTGAATAGTACAAATATAGAACCTGTCAATAGTCATTGAAAGTTCCACTAGACAGTGCTGTTCTAGAAAGATGCCCAATAGTCCCAGAGTGGACTGAACAAGGGTAGGGTAACAAATGAGCTAGAGAGGTTCAAGGTTCATAATCATGTTGGACTTTAAGGCCACTGGAGGAATTTTGGCTTTTATTCTAAATGAATAGGAAATCTGGAGGATTTTGCCAGAGGAGTAACTTGATCTGATTTGACAGAAGAATTGAGTAATTTTTGTTATAATAGGTAAAGGTAGACAGAGGTAGTAGCAATGGAAATGGTAAAAAAAGTTCAGATTCTACATAAATTTTGAGGTTGGAACCATGCTGGTAAAACAAATGTAGAGTACATCATGATGCAGACATGAAGTTAGGAAGGAGGTGTATGATTGGGATACAGGAAAGACAATTAAATTTTAGACTGATTTGACTTTGAGATGACAATAGTACTATTAAAAATGTCCACTGGGCAACCAGACCAGTGAGAACTCAAGAGAACAACCCCTGAATACAGATTTGAGATTCATTTACACATGAGAAGAAACAAAGCAGTAGTAGAGGGTGAAGAGAAATGATGTAGGCTGGGAAATGCCCACAGGATGTAGAAAAGTCCTGGTCACTGCAGAGTGTAGGGCTCTTAATGAGAACAGAAAAACAGGATGTTACCAAGATGGGAAAGTGTAATAACCTATGAGATTTCTCAGTGCTTAAAGGGAGTTTCTAAGACAATCATTTAGTTGTTCCAGCCAACACTGGTGTCATTTATGTTAAGCTTTTTAAAAAAAAAATCAGACTTCAGTTAAATCATAGGACAGGTTTGTTTTGTTTTGTTTTTAGCTAAGTACATGTATTACTGTTCTCAACCTTCTGATACTAGATAGCAAACAGATACTTTTATATTTTTTTAAGTGGTAGAAGGAATCCAAGACTTTGTCATAAAGAGGTGATGTTTATTTAATTTTCCTGTTGTTTTCTTTTTGCAGTGCTAGGAGTCAAACCCAGGATCTCATATATGCCAGGCAAGTGCTCTACCACTGAGTTACAAAGGGAAAAACCATTAGACACTACAAGGAAAGCTAAGGAAAAAGCCCTACTTGTTCTTTGGGACCCTGCACTCCAGGAGCCCCAGTTAAAGGGAAGGCCAAGGGACTCACGAAAGATAAGAGCTCAGAAACAAGCTGTTCCATGCTCAAAAACTTGAGCTCTAGAAAGGAACTTTACATATCACCTAGTTCAATCTTCTCACTGAACCAATCAGCAAGGTTAAGTAAATGTCACCATGTTAGGACTCTGGGAGGGGATTTAATTTCCAGTTCACATCTCTTTTCTACTTGATCTGTTACATTAAGAGCATGAACCTCTTGTTCAAAGTAAACAGACTAAATTTCAGGACAAAGGCAACAAAAAATTCTACTTTTGGGGATCAAGGGGGTATTACAGAGAGCCAGGGTGAAGAACAGGAATGAGATTTGAAGACTGTCGATGAGGGGCTTGTTTTTTGGTTTGTTTGGGTTTTTTGTTTGTTGGTTGGTTTGGGGTTTGTTTTTTTTTTTTTGCTTTTGTTTTTATTGTTGTTGTTGTTACTTGGAGATCGAACCTGGGTCCTTGCCCTTGCGAGGCAGGCGACAGAACCACTGAGCTAAATCCCCGGCCCTGTTGAAGAGGTTAAGAACAGAATATTGACTTCCTACAAAAGCCTCGGCAACAGGTCTCCTGAAATCTGTTTTGGTGTTAAAAATATGCTTTACTTGCTGTGCTGATCAACACACAGACGAAATGAACAAAGTTAACAAGAGTCCGTTTTACTGACTTCTCAGGAATAAGTCTTGGATGTATGTTTATAAAAATCCGTTTTCTTACACTCCCTGGGTATCTTCAGAATAGGAAACTTGCAGAAAGCAGGAGGTGTGTGGGGAGAAAAAAACAATAATAATTGGGAAAGGAAGTTAGTGGATCGGGGAAAGCAACAGGCAGGCCCAGCCCCTGCCTTTCTGGTTGTTGGGGCCGCCGGCGTCCTTGGTTACCGCTCTCCCTTAGGTTCTAAGCGCTTGCTGACTCTGCCAAAGGACACGGTGGGCACCTGCCCATCCTTCCCACTATCCCGAACGGAGACCGAGGACCCCATTAGGTACCAGAGATGCCGAGGCTGTCCAAAGTGGCCTCCCGGTGGCCAGCCAGCCCCAAGCAACCCGCGCTGAGGGATGCAGAGGGAACCGAGGCCAGAAGAGGCTCTTGGTGTGGGGAACCGGGAGATCTCCCACCCTGACTCACGTTGTACTCCTTCACCCAAGACTCCAGCTTTTCCTGCAACCCTCGTAAAGATTCGTTAGAGGCCAGCTTCCTCAGGTTTTCCGCCATCGCTCGTTTTTCCGCGCTCTCTGCTCCGGGAGATGGAGACCTGGAGGGGGCGACAGTGGCCTGCGCGGACGGCGGGAAGGATGTCACCTCGTGGGCTCAGAGCGCAGC